ATCAAGCTTTGAGCTCGCTTGAATGAAGCAGACTTGCCTACATAGTCAGACCTATAGACGACATGCCCTATCGACACTTTCCCCAGCCACTTCCGTGAGTAACCGGCACTTCAGGTTAAGTCATAGCATTTAAACAATACGGCCCAGCGTAATTACAACCTGACGGTTGTAAATAACTTAAACCAATGCCTCGAATCAAGCTTTGAGCTCGCTTGAATGAAGCAGACTTGCCTACATAGTCAGACCTATAGACGACATGCCCTATCGACACTTTCCCCAGCCACTTCCGTGAGTAACCGGCACTTCAGGTTAAGTCATAGCATTTAAACAATACGGCCCAGCGTAATTACAACCTGACGGTTGTAAATAACTTAAACCAATGCCTCGAACAACTAAGGTTAGAGAATGAATCTTATCGTTAAGCCTAAGGAAGACTTCTCGACAACTCATCGTACCGAGGAGAATAGTACGGATAGCCCGATTCAAACGGTAATCGGTAAAGGCCCATCATACCCATTAATAGCTGGGGGTTTGCTAAAAATCCTAAAGGTCGATCAACAAGAGGGAGGTACACGCATGAGATGTAAAAAAAGTAGTGGAGGGACAACAAAAGCATAATTCCATTCATAACTAACTTTAAGACAATACATTTGAACAAAGTTATGATAAATAAAGTCATAACAAAATAAAAAAGGTCTCAAACATCAATCCACTACATCGAACCTAGTCCAACTCGCTGAAAGAGGCGAGTTCAGCTTTCATCGCAGCTATTCTTCGCCCGATCCACTTGGACTTGACCCTCCGCCTCCCTTCGGATCTTGGCCTCGAAAGAAGCAGCAACGACAGAGTCTCCTTGATGAAGCACCTGAAGGGCCCACGTCTCCCTTCCAATGGCGCCATGAACGTCCGCGCTTTCAAGCTGCAATCCTTTCAGAGTCACCTGTTTCTCCATGAGCTGGGCCTTCATTCGGGCGATGATGGCGACTGAAGCATCAACTACCTACAATGAGCGTTGTCGTTCAAGCAAGTACGTGATGAGAGCCCCTTTGTCTGACAGGTCCCTCTCTCGAGTCTCCCGCTCCTGGGCCCCTCTAGTTCGAGTCTGAGCCGTAAGCCACTCCATATCTGGTCTTGAGTCCACACATAACAAGACTTCCAAGCATGTCAGACGTAGCTCGAAGCCGAGAAGTTTGACCAGATAACATGAAGCCTCTCGAGCCTCACCTAAACACTTGAGATCAGCTACGCAGTTCATGAAGAAAGGTTTAAAATCTGCATAGGTGCCCCAAACGAGGCTAGCGATGGAGACTGCTTGCTTCATAGCATTCTCTATTTGCTTGAGGAGGCCCTGTGTAGATCTAGGGCTCGGGGAGATAGGTCCCTGGACAGTGGAAATCATAGCGATAGGCTGGATCAAAGGAGCAACCCTTTCATCATTAGGAGGAGGCTGAGAGAAGGACTACGGAGCAGAAACAAGGGTGTGTTCTTCCCCCTCGTTATCGGAGAGGATGATGGGTTCAGGTTGGACAACCTCCTTCTTCCCCTTCGACGCACACATCTTCACTCTCGGATCAATCACGAACTTGGGAAGCCTGAACTTTCTCTGGAAAAGCTTGAGAGAGAATTCACAAGTATAGTAATCTCCCTACAATGGAGATGAATGACATATACATGAAATCTCAATGGTCGAGATTCGACAGCTCCGCGAAGCAGACAGTTTCAATTCGGCAATTCAAATCGAGCGCCCAAGAATAAGACAGTACGTTTGGAATTCCGCATGAAATAGCCATTATCCAACAGTCCATGTATGAGCTCTTGTTGAATCGACGATTGAGATCGAAAGCGCCATCAGATCCGCATCTCGAAGTAAGCGCGCGAAGACGAGGCGTCGTCTCGACCGACAAGCGTGCGAACTTACCCTAAGGACATGCGACCGACCCTCATGAGCTCAAATCTCGCCAGGAGGGACCCAACTCGAACGACTCCAATCTTGCTTATCGGCACCTGCACAGCTTGAGCCTGTCCAAATGGCTCGACCCAACCGAAGGAATCAAATTCGCTTGAACTTATGAAACGATGTTCACTTTCATTCAAAGTGTCCAGACCATATATTCGACGTGATTTAGGTCTGAAAACTTTGAAGGGGTCTTATAGGATATAAAAATTGCCTTGACTACAGTAGGGTCTAAAAACTCGCCTGTACACTTGACTCGCTTGCACGAGTCAAATCCACTTTAGATTTGAGTTCGCCAGAGGAAGGAAGCTTGCCCGTGGGCTTGACTCGCCAACACAAGTCAAGACTACACGATCGCTGAGCTCGCCTACATGTCCGGGCAATCCACTAGACGATCAGCAAGTCGCCTGTACACTTGACTCGCCTGCACGAGTCAAGTTTCCTCAAGAGCTGATCCCGTTCGCATGGTCATGTGATCAACAAGCTCGCCGGACCCGAGTACCTGATGGCTATGTTATCGCGTACAGGGATGGGCCTTCCCATCTCCCGCAACGTGAAGGGGAGGAGTATAGTGCTCCGAGCCCATCAAGCAGCCGCTCACAGTACAAGTGACCAGTCAAATCCACGTAGTTGCCCACATACTTAACTTGCCTGCACGGGTTAAGTTCTTTTAATCGCCAAGTACGCCTGCATCGCCAGACGATCAGAGGCTCGCCTGCATACTTAATTCACCCGCACGAGTCAAGTTTGTCCAAGTGGCTGAGAGTCGCCTGCACGTTCAAGCAACCAGCCAAGCAATCAACAAATTCACCAGATTTGTTAGAGTACCTAGCAGTTGCGCTATCACATACAGGGATGGGCCTTCCCATCTCCAGTGACGTGAAAAGGAGGAGTACAGTGCTCCGAGCCCATCAAGCAGCCACTCACAGTACAAGTGAGAGACATGGCATCTCTCAACAGTACATGGTCACGTCCCATGGTTCAAGGAAGCGGCCACGTCATCTCTCTCCTATTTAAGGGCCTCTCCTGACTACAGGAAAGGGGTTCGCAGTTTATTAATTGATTCAATCAGTTAACCGGACCATTAGCTCTCAACTCCTGACGGAGTTGACGACTGGCTCTTTGCATTGATCCTGCACTGTAGCGGCTCCCTCTAGCTTTCAGCCTTAATTTCTATTGAGCTCGAAGGTCCAAACTCGATCAACACGAGTTTCTACTATACAGTAAAGCTCAACTGCAACTTTGTTTGAATCGTCCAAAGGAAGCAAACTCGGCGCGAGAACTAAGCGAGGCGTCTTATCACTACCAAAGACCCAACGTTAAACAAGGAGGACATTCCCTCCGCTTTTGTTATAAATTTGATTCATTAGTTTGTAATAAGTTATTCTTATCAATACAAACAAAATCCCCATTTCGGAAAATCAAATTTCTACACATACACTTCTTTCTTTTCAACACCGGGTTCATCTTTGCCCCAAGAGAAGACACAAAAATCTACGTATTCAACATCATAGCATCTAAATCTATGATTTTCATGCTTATGGGACTTTATCTCGATCCCTTATTAGAGATAAGTCTACGTCTAACACACATTATCGGATAGCCTATTCCCGTGATAATGGCAAAGTCTACGTATTCAACATCGCAACATCTAAATCTATACTTTTCATGCATAGGGGATTTTATCTCGATCCCTTATTAGAGATAAGTCTACGTCTAACATACGTTGTCGGGTAGTCTATTCCCATAAAAATAATGAAGTCTATGTATTCAATATCGTAGCTCCTAAATCTATGCCTTTCATGTACATGAGACTTTATCTCGATCCCTTATTAGAGATAAGTCTACGTCTAACACTTGTACCGGGTGGTCTTTTCCAATAAAAATGACGAAGTCTACGTATTCGATATCATAGCATCAAGTCTAAGAGAATTTATTCTTTTAGCACAATGTTACTTGTGGAACAGAGTTAGACAATCTGCATGCTAGTCTGACTCAAACGGTAGTCAATAAAGGCACATCAAATCCATTGATGGCTGAGGGTTTGCCAAAAATCCTATGAGTATTATGTTTATTTATTCCAAACAGAATGAGTAATCATAATAGAGTTCGAACTCAAAGAAGTGGGTGGATGGAGTCTCAAAAGGCTGCAACTTCAAAAAACCCCGACCCGACTACCACTTATTTGAGCGAGACAGCCGACACTGTCTCGCATATGCGAGACAATATAATCTATCTCGCACAAAGAGCCTCTCCATTGTGTATCCAATGCATATTTCTAGCCTATCTCCGGTGTGCCTACAATACTCTGATGAGTGTACAAGTATAAACTGCTTATCTATGAACCTCTGACTAGTATATGAGGTTAAACTACTCCCTACACTCCGATGAGTATATGAATATAAACTGCTCCTCCGTGAACCTTGTAAGTATCAAAAATTACCTATACGTTCAGAATATAGCTCGAGACGACAAGGTATAAAAATAACAAAGCGGCGAATCGCTGATGACATGGCAACAAGTCTGCACGCTCATCAGCCAGCTCCAAGTAGCATGCACGGTCGAGTCACAGCAGCTCCCAAGCCAACGAAAACGGCCATAAAGCAAATCGATGCAATCACGAACAAGTCAACCGAAATGCACTAAATACGTTGCCTAACGAGGCGGGGGGGGGGACAAAACAATTCACACCCGAATGACAACCGAAAAAAAGCCCCTGTGGCCGAGTCACATCAAAACGGCCGGCCAAAGCCAGAGTGCGCCTCGGCATCTAAAGCGCCCGAGCCACCAAATGGTGGCTCTGCACCTATGCGAGCCACAATTGCTTCTCTTGCGTGGGGCTCGGCCCATGAGCACTGGCAGCCACCATATTGGTGGCTCGCCCAACGCCACCACCAAACGGTGGCTTGCACAGTGCCAATCCACCGTGAGGTAGCTTGCTCTTAGAAACTCCCAATACGTATTTTTGATAGTTTTCAGGATTCTTTCATTTCAGAATCTCCTCAACTGCTTTGAAGCTATCCTTAAACATGGTTAAGCAGTTATTGAATGCGGATGAGGTCAGATCATCAACTCTTATCAGAAAACGCTACAACAAAAGTCTAAAAATACAAGCCTAGGGTCTTCATTTAAAAGGATTTGAAATAAGAGGGCGAGGTACTACCAAATTGAAGAGTGGAGGACGATTTTCAGAGGAGGGCTAGCAGATCTTGGTGAACTACAACATTAAGAGGGAGATATTCGAAGGATCTGAGGCCCGTTTCACCTTTCCTCCGGATCAAACTTGGTTTTGATCTCGAGAAGAGTCGTAATCTCGCTTGGTCGATATTATCACTTCTGCGATTACTTCCTTTGTGAAGTAAGAGCTTTTAACAATCACTCTATCCACCGGATCTGATCCGTGACGGTCTACGGACTAACGCGTCCCTAGCACAGACAAAGATCCCACGCGAAGCAACGGGTGATAAACGTCTGTTGCGTGTATTTTAATGAGATTGTATTTGTTTATTGTTTTCATTGTGTAAGAAGATCTTATAAAAAGATTGACTTTTCTCTTTTTTTGATTTTGTAATCGATAAACGATTGTAACAGATTCAATAACAATGAAGATATCGATTTCCGACGCAAACTCGCTGGCGACCACAGTGGGAGCCAATAGTCTCCTATCGAGACTATCATATCGCAACCGAAGATCAAGATCCTGCTTGATTCAGCGGTTGAGTACGAGTTCTACGAAGCTAAGTTCGAGGAATATTTCTCCTCGTCTTTATCAAAATCCTCCTCTCCCTGCAAATGCGGAAAGATATTGTCTTTGAAGGAGGCATACTCACTGACGAAGGCTACAAGTGACTCCTCTCCAATCAAGGAGTTATCCAATCAAAGTATGCCAACTCTGATGAAGAGAGCTTGTTAGAGGCGACGCTAATGCCAAGCTCGTCAAATCGCCAAGGCATTGAAATAAGTCGACGGGGTTTGATATTACACAAACTTGGAGTTCAGGAGGCGTCAAGCAACCGAATCACTTCAACAGCGTGTGGCTGACAAATCCTCCAAGCCATCGATGGAAGAATGATTCCTTGTCAAAAGGAATCATTTAACCTGGAAGGAGGTTATCCAAAGGCGTCGTGCACGTGCCGCACATGCTCGTACCCTTTTATAAAAGGCACAAGGCATGAAGAAGAAGAGGTGGCCAAAAAATCACCAAGACCATGCCAAGTCTGGAGGCCAAAGTCCAAAACTACATCAAAAACAACTCTGATAGCGACCGAAAAGATCAGAAGTCCCGAGCCACTTCAGGGTGACTCGCGCCAAGCCCGAGTCGAGTCCCGCGCCTAATTCGCCTCCTGTAGCCGTTTCTCTGCTTCCGTCAAACCTCGTTCCTAATCTAGTTGATCCCGTACCTCTAGAGAAGTCTCACGACAGCGTTGACCTATCAAAATTCAAGGTTACGACGGCGGACCATCTTGGTCCTTCGCACAAAGATCGAGGCAAAGCTCCAGTGAACAAAATCCGAGTAGTTTATCAGGCTAGGGGTCGTACAAACACTTCTGTCAAACTAAAGGCCGCGCAAAGGTGTCCTGCTGCCTCCAAACAAACTGGGCACCTCATTGTACATGTTCGTGCGCTGTGTCACACCCCAATTCCCAAAATACCCGAGAATCAGAACGTGAATAAGCTCGCGACATATTAGATCAAGGAGAATAAATAAAAATAAATATTTCTCCTCAACCTAATACGCTAAGCGTCAAAAACATAAAGTGAATGCACAGGTCCCCGATCACAGTTAACAAGAACATAATGAACAACACAGAATAAAATAATACATATCAAAAATGAATATCATCCAAGACATAATATTCGGGTCAAGCATGCCCTTATTACAAAACTAAACAAATGAATACTGAAGAGATACAAAATACATTGTTTAACAAAATAGAAGGGAAAAAACTACAGAACAACTAGGTTCATCAAATAATATGAGATACTAAACTTCGGCCTATTCTTCAACTCTATCTGCAATGCACTTCTGCTGAGAATATCCTGGTTCTGGAACATCTCCAAGCTGGACCTGTTATTCCTCTAAGTGTGATGTACACCAGAGAAAACAGGTGTATGTCAACGTGCATGGCACACGACAAGATCCCACAAAACAAAAGAACATACGAAAACCCAAGCGGACAACGATACGATAATAGAAATGATAAGAGGACGTGCAATTGGAAATTCAACAAAATCAATCAAGTAACAAGTCAATCATGTAGCTAGCAACCAGAAATCATCCAAGTAACAAGGTCATACAAATAGATGAAATTAATACTTAAAAATCTACAACAAGAGACGTAGTACGTCGAGTGAAATAATCCAAACAAGGAAACCCTCATGTGACCACATGTCTCAAATTATAGATAATTAAATATTAACCACGATCTATGTATGAAAAGAAATACAACTAGCCTACATCTCACAAGAATCCATAATCACCTTAAGTAATAAGGTCATTTAACTAGCTATTCTACAATAGGTCACTGGTCCACATCTCACACAGAGTCAACGTTCATATTATCGGATACTGACTATTCACAAATCCTCTACATGCATCCAAACCCGTAAAACAGTTCGGTGAGAGGACTACATGTAATCCGATTTCGGCCTGGTTCGAACTCAAGCAAAACTCGGGTGACGAAACAATTTCACTGACCAAGTGCGAAACATTTCACTTGGTGTGAGTCTGGAAGATACATCAACAGCCTTATCCGATCACATAAACACAGACTTCCCCATTGTAGGCGTATAAAACTGCTTATAGGTCCCTTAACACAGCTCGGCACGGTGATTCGACAAACCAACGAACCATCGGGCGATATATCCA